GTATTTTTTGTTCGTGGGTTAAAAAATGAGCTTGCTATTTGTGCGTGGGCGGCCCTAAAATCGCCACTTTTCTCTCAGCCTGTCTTTACTGTCTATCCCCATCACACAGAATAAGAGTTCATCTCATGTACCGCTCTGCAAATTAGTCCCAATAACGTTTCTTCAAACTGTCTGGCTGTCGTATAGGCTATATTTCTTGCAAATATACATCTCACTGCTCTTCTCGGTTCAGCGGCGCCGGCGCGATCCCTTGGGCTACATTGTGATAACAGAGGAAAGAATGTCTGCTTTATTTTCTATACTTCCACAATAACAACAAAACGTTACAAATTGCTTTTGTAAAATAACAGGGTGCGCTTTCTGGCGCACCTTGTTATGTCTAAAGGTCTACTTAAAACAATCGAAAACAAATGTGTGTTTATTTAATTCGTATAGCCTAAATCCAACAAGAGGTAGGCCTACTGTACAAACTTCAGTCATTCAAATAAAGAAATATTAAGCCCAGAGTCGATTATAGCCTAAACAAGTCATGGATCTGAGTGCCGTTATTGGATAGCACTATATTGTAGACAGATTGGAGATTAATCCTAATAAACATGCCGCTACAATTAAAACCATTACATTAAAATATATTTAAAACAGTGTATTTCAATAATTTCAGCAGCGTGCAGATCCTCGTTTATGTCAGACTGTGGCGACAGCAGCGCGGACAGTCGCATAGCTCGCTCACATAATGTACCATATATATCTATAATAACGAGAAAACATCTCGTTATTACGAGAAAATATGTCGTTTTAACGAGAAAATTTAAAATTACTTTATTGCATTCCAGATGATTTTAAAGAACGTTACACTAAAATTTTACGGTAGCTTGAATGTAAAACATTGTCATGAATTCGTTGTATTCCCATTTGTAAAATAGACTACAAATTAATTGTTGTAGTCTAACCCGATCTCATGAAAGTGCGTATAGCACAATTTTCTGTTTCTATTTGGCGTAATGTTTATACGCAGAAATTGACTTTGGCGTGCAAAAGACTGATAAATTCATAATTAATGGCATGGCTGGTTCAGTCGACAGAAATACGGGAGACACAGGCCTATGATAACTGCTGAAATGTTTGCGGGGCAAATCTCAGGTCAGTCTGAGCGTACACCTGCAGGCGCCACTGTGTGTATGTGCTTGTGGGTATTACTACATTTGTGTGTGGTTGTTGCCGCTAAAGTTGGCCATGATTCGGGACATGGTGTTTTAGACCTCTTTCTTATCTAGTCTCTTGCTTTTCGGAGAGGAATGCGGTTGCCGCGATTACTGGGTTACTGTGTTAAAAATAAAAAAGTTTGCGGTAATTTCAGCACCACAGCGCTGAAACACTCAATGCTTCTGATAACCTTGCCTTCTGTGCTTTGCAAATACAATAGGTAACACATGCTGATGACTGTAAAATTCAACGCGATTAATTTGGTACTTCTGGCGGCTGCGGTCAGGCGCACGCACCGCCGTGTGTGTTAGAGTGAGACGCACGGAAAGAGTTTCAATTTGAGTTTCGATGTTCAATTTATTATAAGAAACTGATAAGATACTGATTTTAGTTGGTCTAAATTAAGTAGGTTAGGCACAAATTTGCATATATGGGTTCCCTTCTAGACACGAGCGCTGTGTGTTTGTATGTGCTTCATAACCGTGCACCAGGGGGCCCGTCATAATAGCCTGCACTGGGGCCCGTCATTACTAAGTTACGCCACTGAGCCTACCATATATCTATAATAACGGGAAAACATCGTTTTTATGACATGTCTTATTACGAGAAAAATTATGTCGTTTTAACGAGATAATTATGTCGTTATTACGAGAAAATATGTCGTTAAAACGACATAACATCTCGTTATTACGAATTGAGTGGGGAAAAAATATGTGTGTGGCAGCAATGCGTCACCGTGGGATCATTACACCACAAACTCAAACACATACGCAAGTACATGCTCTAGTTCCCTTCCACTTCCTGTCTCTGGTTGATTGCAGATATGGTGAGAAATGTAGTGTGATAAAAGTAAAGGTCGTAAAAAGTAAAAGTTAAAAAAAATACCGTTAATAATGAATTAAATGATAATTAACTGGAGGAACTGTTATTTATTCATGTATAGATTTGTTTTTATATAGGCTATGTTTCTTAGATTTGCACAGTTACTTAGTTTTTAAAGTTAGTGGCAAAGAAATAAACATGCTTTGGTCAAAATTGTGGTTTCAGTGCCTGATGTTGTGTGTGTGGCCATAAATATATGCTAGTCATTTCTTCTTATCAGTGTTAATTTAGGGTTGTGTTTATGATGCGTCAAAATGTGATCTATCCTTCAACAGAATTTAACGTGAAGCCTGAAATAGAGGAACTTCTGATCAAAATCATTCAAATCAGCCTAAGATAACAAAAATAACCAAGTTCTCAGAAAGTATACAGGAAGCCCTGACCACCACACAGGAACTTGCATGTTAAAGTGTGTTCGTCTGTAACGTTTCAGCTAGTTTGTGTCATTGTGAAAGAGACGAAGAGAAAGATGTCTGGAACACGTACCCTCTGCTGCCATGTCACCACGGCGACCCTCTCATTTGCCATCATATATCTGGTAAAAGCACATACAGACACTGTATACAATGTGTGTTTATAGTTACAATTAGTGTCTTTACTGTTGTCCTGTTCTAATCCACTTGTAACTGTTTGCAGTAACTCAGGTTAGTATAAAATAGCAGGGGAATTCGTTTGCAATAGTTCTAGAGACTTTCCTACTTCCTAGAGTAGATATATCAAAGTTTTGTACTCTGGTAAGACAGCACGCTAATTTGATTGCTGTTTTGTTGTTGTTGATGTTTATTCAATGCAAACACTTAATGGAGAAGTTTGTGCATTTACAGGAAGCTGGCGCCATTTGAAGTAACAGTCAGTTACTGAGCCACAGATTGAGATTCAATATGACTCTTCTTTTTAACACAATGTTTGTTGTACATCACTAGCCATCTCTTTATCTGAAGCTGATATTTATTTAGCAACTAATAGATAAGATACATAGAAAGAGATACTAAATGTACTAACTACATACATAGACTACAAAGAAACACTTTCACATCATGATCTGGGGGGGGGAAATGAGTGAGAAATCAATGTTCCAATTTGAATTAGAATTTTATAGTACTTTTATGAATACTTAAACCACATTATATAATTGTGAGCATCATTGGTTTAGGAATAAATACGTTTACAGGAAACCCTCTGTCAACCAGACTGTATTTTAGCCTCCATAGGATATCTAGCTGAGGGAGAAGGTTGTGTCCATGTTATGTAATTTACACTTTTACAGGTTTTTCTGAATGAACTGCTGTTCTTGTGTAACTTGTTCTGTTGGTGTTGGCTCGGAGGAGAGAGACCAAACACACTGGCTGCCAGAATACACACAAACTGAGACACACATTTACCTTTATGAATTCATTCTGTCACATTCATTTCATCTGTACCCTCTGCGTGTGTGTGTGTGTGTGTGTGTGTGTGCTCGTCTCTCTCTAGATTGTTAATGTGCTGAATTTGGTGGGCATCATTCTAATGGTTTCATTGGATAAAGAGGCATTTTCTGTCTCCTATTATGAATCAAAGGCTACCAGGGGCCAGCGTGTCTGTGAGTTCCCTTCACACCACTCAGCCACTTCATTCAGACATGGGTTTCAAAAGTTATATTAATAATTAATGAATTTCATTTCAGTTTTGTCCCAAGAGTTCACATGATCAGTATCAAAAATGTACCATTTGATTAGTGACTGAGAAGTAAAGCAGAATCTCAAATATTAATTTAAACTTTAATTTTTTTTTTTTTTTTTTATATTTTGTAATTCTAAATTGTTTGGTATATTGCCAGATTTAAATTACATTTTGAACTGCAGATTGTCATGGACCTCAGACTTGTGGTCCCCACTGGATATTATTAATTAATATTGTCTTATTAATAAAAAACAACTTGAGTGTTTAGTTCATTTGAAAAAGGCAGCTTTTTATGAAATCAGTGTAAAATTCCCTAAATGCTGCATTTGACCAAACATTGTTCAGTATAAGACATAAAATAATTAATCATTTTGCACAACATAAAAAAAACATGAAAATAGATGAGGTAGAAATAATAGAAGATATTAAATTGGAAGCCATTAAAATTCTCTTTCTTTCCAGTTGACATCAGCACTAACATTCTGATGCTGGTTATGATGTCGATCTCTGCTGTGCTGGTCCTGTTCTCGAAACGCAAGGTACTGTGTACATGTTTATTGCCACTGACTGAAAAAGACAGTTCCCATCTATACTCTAAACATAAATAAATGGAAATTATGAGGGAAAAACACAGTGATATATTAAGTTTGAGGAATAAATAAACAGGAATAAATTAAAATATGGTTTATGAGTAAAAACAGCGATACATTACAAAATAAATTTGAATAAAAATACATAAAAATATAGTCAATGTTTCAATTTTATTTTTATTTATTGTAAAAACATTAAATATTACATAAGGTGAATTGCATTTGGTAGTTACATACTTACATGATGAAATGATCATAATACCATTTAGGGTCTAGTTTAAAAAATGACATCTCTTTTTTTGTGTTGTGTTGTTTTGTCAGATGCTTTTTTAATACAGCAGCTTACAAGAAGAACATATTGTGCTAGTTTCATCTTCCCAAGAATACTAATAAAATACAATGCTGAACCACATTTCAACAGAAACAAAATTTACATTCACAATTTATCTGTTTGATTTATAATAGCACAATTTTTTAAGGTAATTGTTTTATGCATGTATTCACTTGCAAAAAAATATTTAATTTAAACTGAACTTAAATATTTATGCCATTATTATACTATGATTTCTGTGCTGTTTGAACGCACACCATATTTAGCACAGCAAATATCTTACTCTAATAAACACTCATTGGGCAGTTTACAAGAACAATAATAAATCAGTGCTACTGAAGTCAAATATACATACTAAATTTGTAATGTAACGATCTGTGTGGTGATACCCTTTAAATGAGTCTGGTCTGTTTTTATTTTATTGGATGTGTATATGTATGTGCGTGTGCGAGTGTGCACCTTAGATTTTTAACTCTGCAGCCGACACCAATATTTACTCAGCTTCCAGAAAGAGAGCTTTTCTCAATATTTATGAAGGTGGTGAAACACGGAATCCTAGTGCTCTCTCCAAACGACACATTTAAAATCCGATCAGCCTATAGCAGGGATTTTTTCTCTCTCTCAATTTCTTACTTTTTTATGTGGAGGTGAATGATTGAATGTGTGATAGAAAGAAAATTCAACACTTGTGTCTCTCTGTATTAGGGCCCGATGTTTGTGCTGCCTTTTGTGCTGATGATGTTTGTGGAGCTGAGTCTGAGTTTTCTGTCCCTGTTTGATGGAGCCTGGGGTCTGCCAGGGACCCCGAGCTACAGAGACATGCTGCAAGCTGTAGTGAGATACATAACATTTTGACACAAAACTAAATGTTGACTTCATGACAACTGCATGGCTATTCAGCTTTCAATTTCAACGTAATTCTACCCAATGAATGTGTACTTGTTTGTATGTCTTTAACAGAAGGGTCAGATGAGAGTGGATAGGTTGAATGAGGAGGAAATTGGCCATTTCACCATGTGGTACTCTGTTCTCTTTATGATGGACATACTGCTGAAGGTATAAACCCTTACATGTGTGTGAGAGTTTGTGTATAATCGGCTTCAAAAGTCTCATACTACATTGAAAAACTGGGATTTGAAATCACATTTAAACCAGAAAATATAAGTTTTAGAATTTTGAAATGTATTTGTTGAATTTAAATATTTACTTGTCATTACAGCCAAGACACAAAAGTGTTTTTTTTTTTTATTGAATCTTTCAAGTTTTGACACTACTGTTCAGAAGTTTTTAAAGGGGTCCTATTATGCTCTTTTACAAAGTCTTGATTTTGTTTTGGGGGTGTACTAGAACATGCTCTCATGCTTGGTGGTTCGAAAAACGCATTATTTTTCACATAATTTACATTATTAAAATACCTTTCTCCCCAGTCTGGCACAAACGGCTCGATTAGTTCCGGCTTTGATGAACTTCTTCATCGTCTCGTCTGATGCACTCAACCAAGCGTTCTAACCACAACCTCGCCC